GGTGGTGGTGGTGGTGGTGGTGGTGGTGGTGGTGGTGGTGGTGGTGGTGATGATGATGATGATCATCGTCATCAGCAGCAGCCAGAAGTGTATACATATACATATACACATATCCAATCCATTCACTATATGTCCAAACCATACCAGTAATCCAAATCTCCAGAACATTGGCCACTTCCATCTCTTACACATCCGACCTCGCCTCACGGTGAAGCTCCTGCCATCGATCGCCCCTCCAGACTCGGGGAGCAGGCCAAGCACTCAAGGAGGCCACCGGCAAGACCTGTCATCGAAAAACATTGGAAAAGTATTGTAAAAAAAGGGCCGCAAATCATGGAAGTTTCACCAGGGAAATGTCATCTGAAAGAATCATGGAAGTGTAGGCCCTTGGAAAACATTGGAAAACAATTTTCCTCTATGAGGGTGTCCTGGCCAGCTTCCATGATTGTTGGAGGGAGGGTAAACCACGGACTGAACCCAACTGAAGGGCATCTCAATGCAGGTGCATGGAAATGAACCGGCCAGCCAGAAAAAAGGTTACTATACTTCGAGTGATCACCCTGAGAGGCGATTTGGAAGAAGGCAGGTAGGGAAGGAAAAAACACACACACCACATCGCCCGTCTCGGCTCCTAATTCGGCTGTGGATGCTTTAATGCTTCATGGAGTGACACTTCACAGTGGGTCCAAGTCGTGCCACCAGTTCTGGTGCCAGTTTTGTCAGCCTTCGCAACAGGAAGATCTGGAGAATCCTGTGATCAATGTCCAAAGCACCAACTCGAACCGCGCCGGATATAGAAATCTTTGGAACTTCCGAGTTGGTGCGTTTGTTGCGTTTGGGGTTTGCCTTTCACCTCCGAGTCCCGGGGCCTTCTCCTCGCCCTTCACCCTCACCGCCGCCAAGAGCTGGGCGGACTCGACATCGGCACCACATAGGCGGAAGGCCGCAAAGGGCACCAGGCAGAAGGTGTCACCTGCGGTGCCCCCACACCGTGAGTCTGCAGGCACTGGGACTTGGCGCGGCCAGGGGCCGGGGCTTGGAGCACCCGACTCTCCCAACCAAATGTCCAAGGTTGATCAATTGTCCATTGTGACGAAACCTGTCGAACATGATATGACAGGATTAAGCATTTCCGAGTTGGCATGAGAAGCTCTAGATCCAGCGGCAACTTCTCAACAGAGTGCTATGTACGCTTCTGATTCGATATAACATGATTGGCACAATGAGAGAGTCTGTGTGTGTGTTTACACAAGTGCTTAGCTGCTTATCAGTATTGAACGCCACCAAAACTTCGGCGCGTCCAAGTGCAATTGTTTGAAGACCTGTTATATACTCCCTATTTTGTCCCAGGTGGGTACAGTATCTACAGCTGGCCGGCCGTCTGACGTGATAGAGGAAATTGGTTGCTCCGTACATGGGGTACATGGGGAGTGGATTCAAACCCTATATTTAGTCCCTATAGGTCTTTAGGTTTAGTGGTTTTGTTGACCCCATGACGGACACGGAAGATTCTGAGCAACGTTCCCCACAAAACGATTGACAAGTGCATCAAATCCCCAGTTCACCAGCAACATTTCAGAGATTCTTTCTGCAATATGTGTAAAAATCAGCAAAATCCAAGGGCCCCTTCAAATAAAGCTCACCGACTTGAAATTGAAAGGGGACCTCCGCAAATGCCTTTTTTCTCTCTCCCACAACCACCAGCTGTTCATGTCTTTTCCTCTTTGTACCCCTCAACTTGCATTCTTGGTGCGTCCCTTTCGAAAGACATTGCATTTCTTGAAGACGCCCCACATGGCGCCACCCACCATGTGAGTAGACCAGAACTTCCGTGATCGTCCTTACTCCCAGCCATTGGACGATCGGATTGAACATGATTGAACACCATTCCAAGCCTCAAGAGTTCCCCCACCCGACTGCACGGAGAGCCATACAAAGAGTCACATGTGGAAGTGCCGTTCGATCGGGGTGCCCCGGTGCCCCTGTCACATCGCATCCACTGGATGGGACGGAAGCAAAACCACTCCCCTTCGTTCACTCCGAGTGAAGCAGGTGCTAGCACCGAATTGAAAAAAAAAAGAGACACCTGCGTCCCGCGATGTGGGCCTCCGGAGTGGAGCATCTCCCAGGTATCAATCAAGGACCTGGAGGATGACATCGTGCACAGCACCTCGGCAGGTCGAGGTGACCCGGCCAGGTTTCGATCAAAACATCTGAAAAAGGCTGTGATCTACTGACCACACATCCACTGTCGAGTTGAATTTCACACCACGCCGGTGTGGTCTGTTGTAGCTGGACCACAAACGGATTCCGCTCGACTTGACCGACTTGACCATGGGAATGTGCAGAATGCCTTAACCCGAAGTTTTTTCAGGCTGCGTCGGACTGTTGGCTCCATCAGAAAGGTTTTAGCCCAAGGAAAACCAAAGCAACGCAGGGTGCTTTGGCCAGGGTTCGGTGTGTATTGTAGGGAGAACCAGACTATGGTTTACTGGTCTATGTTCCGAACCTTTCAGCAAGTCCAACTGGGATGTCTCCGACTCCCTATTTCAATACACTCCCTATTTCAACACCGATTGAAGGTTTGTGTGGAAAGGTCCTGGACACTTGGGCATGTCTCGACTTCTGACCATGCCAAGACCCCTAGAAAACGAGAAAACACATGAAAACATTGAAACAATTGAACGTGCATGTTGCGACGCATGCCATGCGCATCCAATGGATCCACCGCTTTGTTTTGTGGACCAGTTCTGACTGCCAATCTCGAAAAATGGTCTGCAGTCCAGGGGCCAGGTACAATTGGATGCCGGCACTTGGAAGGCAGTGAGGGGCTCTTGGACTCCTGGGTGGAGGGATAACCCAATCCATCTCTATGACCAACTCAACGACTCACACTTCACTCGGGTGCCTCATGCCATGCATTGCCTCAATACATTCTGTGGGGGCACTGTGATCTCAAGGCAGTCGGCGATGTCAATTGACCACACTGTCACCTGCAGGGACCGCATTGCTGCTGAGTGATGGCGACAGGGAAGTCCGAGGTCCAACCCAAGCGACAGGGGTTGTCAGTCATGGGGTTGTCGACTTGTTGCAAATTTACAACTTTACTTGAGTATCACGTTCCGTGATCTTGCTTTTTGGCTTCGTCAAATGTTTCTGCACATTGATAAGATTCCTTCGTCAATTGCTTGCCTTCAAAACAGACACAAGTCGGAAGGCCGAACTTTCCCATGTCGGGTGCCGTCGCCGGCGCTGAGAGAACGAAGTGAACTGAAACGGACCTCGCTGTCACCTCTTTGAATGTGTGTTCGTTGGGACTTGGTTCCCTTGATCAGACCATGGGAGTTCATTTTTGCTCAGACCATGAGAGTCTACAGTGTCTCTGTTCCAAAAGGGGACTGAAGTAGCGGACAAGAATGCAAGAGTGGTCTTTTGTTTCTGATCAAGAAGAGTCTACATTACGGTCAAGATATCATCTATCTGTCTGATTCTCATTGTGCCATGTCATGTAAAAAAATGGCTGGGTCCTTGTATACCCCCCCCTCCAGACCCACCCGATTCTTTTCAAACATATTCTGCAATGCCTGCACATATTTACTCAAAAAGAATCTGCGTGTGAATTGACATATGGAATATTTAAATATCAAAAAGATTCCTGCATACCTGGTAGTTCAACCCCACCCTATTAGGTTGAAGGATGTTGGAGGCCATGGCTCTTCAATCTGTGACGTGGCAATCCCGTTTGCTGAAGATCATTCCATTTCAAAGACTTGGTTTGAGCAAAGAACAAATTGAGAATAAAAAAAGAAGTAGCTTCAAGGTGAATGTATGACATTTCCAACATTCAATAAAGAATCTGACCCCACCCCTGACATACCCTGACCCTACCCCTTGCACAAAAAGAATCCCAAAAACACCAAGAAGATTCCGGGAACTAGTTGGTACCCAAGATTCTTTTCTTAAGGTACCCCCCATGTAAAAAAACCATCCATGCATTATCCGTTCATATCTTTAATGTCCATGTAAAGAACATCCCTTCGGTCCATGAAGACCTCGCCTCCGTCGCTCTCCACCGCCCCGGACTCTCCCGCCTTCCCGTCGCTCTCCACCGCGGTGAGGCGGTGTCCCACCGCGGTCCTCTCCGACCCTTGGGACCACGCCACATCACCTCGGCGCAAGAACCAGGTCAGGGGGGGCTTAAGAGAGGAAAGCATAGCAAAGCCACAGTATAGCGTATTACCATCCAAAAAGGAAAAAGGTATCGCATGGTGTGAGTGGGCGGTTCCCTCCAATTCGTTTCTTTTTGAACCCCATGTTGAGGTGGCCGTGTTTTTTTTTGCCCCTCAAGGTCCCGGGGGATCCGGCGAAGCTGATCGAAACTCCTTGACCATGATGGGTCATATGTTCCAATGCTGAGGTAGAAGGGCTCGGTTGAGGCCAATGATGGGTCTCGAATGGAACCCATCTCACCAAATCCGGCCGCGGATTTGGCGCGTGGAGAATCGTTCAGACGGGTGCCCAAAAGGCCCTAAAAACCTTTGCACCGTCACTCCTCAACAGCATGGTGGGGGAAATGTCAAAAAGAAAATAGCTGAATATTTCAGGTGTGTCTTATGTTTTTTGTTTTGTTGTCTTTTTATGATGTTGCCCTCGAACAAAAGCACGGTGGACAGATCTCCACGAAAGGTCTCGCCGTCGGCCGCGACGGTGGACTGCCCAGGAGGGTCATCCGTAAGTGATGCAGAGGTCGGGACTCCCGGCCGATAGTGAGAGGTCACCAGCCACAGTCTCTGGAATAGTGGGATCCTAGGTTTTAATATGCCTGGTTTGGGTCCCAGCCATAGTTTGGTTCACTTCTTTTCACCGGATGAATTGAACCGAACCTTGAGCTTTAATATCCTTGTTTTTGATACGAAGGCATTTCAAAGCATCCTGTGAAAAGATGGGTTTGCCGGTGGTCCTCAAGGGGGTGTGCTTGGAGTGCTCAGCAACCACCAGCAGTAAACCAAATCCCATCACCACCTGCCCATTCCTCAGCCAGGCGACATACGCCTCCATCCACCGGGAGGTCTACCTGGAGTGGACGGCGTGTCGGTGGCCCGACTGCGGCAAATGCCTGGCCAACATCCCCGCAAAAGGCTCAGCACTTGCGCGAGCCGGGGCTACAAAATGAACATGGGGCGGTAAAGACCCTTCAAAGGGGGCCTTACCATGCCTTAAATTCCTTCTTTCTCTGTGTGTGCTTCTTAGAGAGAAGCCCTCTGGCAATTGTGATGGAATATTTGCCCCAGTAGCACAAGATGCATCAAGAGGCTCAGAAATGCTGATGAGTGGTAAGTGCCTGTTTTACCATCCCTTTGGATGAAAACGACATCCTCTGACTCCTGGAAGCCAATGGCCCAGCTAGCGAGTCGAGTAGATGAAAAGAGAGCTCTTTCATCCACACATGAGTGGAGTCAACGGTGCGAATATCTGCAAGCAAATGATATATTTATGCACAAACAACTCACAAGAATGAAAACCCGTTCAAACTCTGAAACCTGAGCACAAAGACTGGAGAACCAATCCTGAAGCACCTTGCATCCATGATTGTAAGTAGATCCTCTGGCTAGATTTCCTCCGAACCAATTGCATGGGCTCGCCCTGAGCAAGAAGCCCATGCAGTTGGACTTTTGGCAGCTCCAGTCGACACTGGTCAAGTCTGTACAAAGGCTGGAGGGCAGCAAATGCATGCAAATGCAGCTGCAGTATCAAATGTTATCACCATGGTTTTGACTCATGTGCAGCTAAGTCAAAGCACACGCCCTGCCCAAAGTGTCTGGCAATTCCACGTTTCATGTCTCAGGCTCTCTGACCTCCTGCTATAGTCCGTTTGGGCCTCACCAGGTCCTCCCGTTCCTCTGACGCCTCCGGAACTTCCCAGGCCTGCATGGGCGTCTCAGGCTGGGTATGCCACAAGTGCCTCAGGACGTGCAGGGGGAAAACTGCAGAAGATGCGCCAACAAAAAGGTTAGTTATTGTATCTTGGATCCTGAATCAAACTTCCGAATCCAGCATATACTGTAGTATTTCCATCAAAGATTCGCTGTTATATTAATATCAATGTAACTTGCGTAGATGATGCTGGCAGGTATGGTACTTTTGTGTGAGAGTCAGCGGCCTTGTGTTGGTCCATTCAGGATGGAGGACAATTCTTGTACAGTATTACAGCCATGCGGACCAAATGCTTGTCACGATGGCTTGATCCTGCATAGTGCGACCTAAGGCCAAACACCCAGGATAGGCCAGGTCATGATATCTTGACTTGAAGATATCGAAGATTCCAAACAATTGTTACTCTTTCGGAACCACTGATTTGGGAGCAATTATAAGTTCTAGAATGACTTTCTTCCCTCCATCCTTCGTCGGATTTCAGGACCTACTTGGGTGAAAACATGGGTTCTCAGGTCCCAAACGTTCCGTTTAAACAAAAAAAGGATGCCCACTGACCCGTCCGAGCAACATCTTCGCACCCGTTCTTCGCACGGAATCAAAGCGTTGACAACATCGAGGTTCGGGTCGAAAGCGGCGACGTCTCAGACTCAGTAGCTAGAAGCTACTCAGTGGAGGCCATCGCTATTAGGGTGGAGGCCATTGCGACAAATAGGTTCCTTTTCCTACTAGTAACAAGATGTAACAAGAAGCTACTAGGGGCTCCTGGCATCGCTACTAGGAGCAAGGACGCTACTAGGGGCTCCTGGCCGAGTAGTAACAAGAAGCTAGTAGACTCAGTTGCAAAGCTCCGGTGGCCAACTTCTCGCACGGAAAGCCGAGCGCCCGACCTGGCCGGTAGAAGGGCGGGCACCGTGGTGTTCAGGTCTTTGACAGAGCGGAAAGGAGGGTCCCTGGAGCTGGAAAGGGTGCTTGCTGATCTTGTATGTTGCTTTGTGTGAGGTTGTCGCTGGTGTTTTGGGGGTTGTTTCTTGAGGCGCACAGGTCAGTACTCTTGGGTAGTGAACTTGCTTGGAGTTGAGGCCATTGAGGCCATTCATTGGAGCCAATCTCTGGTCCTCTGAGCATGTCGTAGGCTGCCCAATGATGGCCATCCCTCTCACTCCAAACCGATTCAGGGTCCCATGCTTCCCTCAGACTGGGAGACGGTTGAGGAAAGCACGAGTCAGAGTCTCTCATCGAGCGCAAGCTCCACCTCTCATCCCCGGGGTCTTAGCTCCAAGCTTCTTGTTACTAGTAGCTACTTGCTCCTAGTAGTACGGCCAGGAGCCCCTAATAGCGTCCTTGCTCCTAGTAGCGATGCCAGGAGCCCTGTTCGTAGCTTCTTGTTACTAGTAGTTCCAAAGATTTCTGCAATCCCATTCCGTAATGATCCATACTCCCTCCACCGAGTCACAAGCCCCTGGGAACAAGCCGGCAATAAAAGACCGGACGGGACCTGACAGGGACCTGACAGGAAAGACCTGGTGAGTCAAAAGGAAAGAGACCTGGTGAGTAGAGAGGCCCCTTTCAGGGAACATCCACTGGAGTTTTTTGGGCCTGTGGAAGTGTGAGGACGACGTTTCATCGAACATCCCCCGACCGGTGAACAGGAGCTTTTTAGATTCAGGTGAAACTTGCGGGGGTAGAGGGAACTTGGATCTTTCTATTTCCCGACCCAAAAGAATGACTCATCGTCCGGGAGGGTCTCCCTGTGACATGAGTCATCCTTCCCACAAGAGGTTGGTCAGGTCTGTCACCAGATGCGGTCGATGGTCTGTCACCATCCGCAAAAGGTCCCAAGTTGCACCTGACCAAACCGCCAGCAAGTGCTCTGGACCCCAGGCAATGCCTCCGGATAGGCTGAGATCCAACGGACGGGTTAGGTGTGCAAGGAGCAAGAAAAAACCCTTTCATGTTGCATAGAGGATCATCAACAAAAAGCCTTCCAAGCTTTCCGTAAGTTTGCCAAGTCCGGGTTCCAAGGTGGTCTTTTCCCTTTGGGACAAATATGGGCAGGCGATGGTTCCGCAGCCGGGCTTCAGTGAGCTGGGACGATGCGCCGCGCCCGCCGAACTGGGGGACTTGACAGTTGAAGTCTACGACGTCCCACAGCATGAAAAGGGTGGATTTCTAGCATCATTCGGTGTTTAGAGGAACACTCTCTTCACATGGAAGAATGGAGGTCCGAGAATTGATGTCGGGCAATGGGCCAGGCTCAGACTGTTCACGGAGTTTTGTTGATGTTTGAAGTACATCCAGTATGGAAACTATATGTGTGCGACGACATCTCTTTGATTCCCATTTGTTTGGACTGTTTGGATTTTTCTAGAGTACTTTAAACATTTATATATTTGTGCATATGATTATATATGTAACTACTTTTATATCATACAGTGTATAAATATATAGAGAATTCTTTGGAACTTTACGCTTCATCGTCTGAACAGCAACGTGCTGAATTTCGATTGATCTCGTCACTCCCGCAGGATCGCTGGCTCCTCAGAAAGATCAACACCTCATGATCATGTCATTTCACATCCCAAATCTCTTTGCATATGCATGCTGAAGCGCATACCGACCATACAAATATGTGGCAAAGTCGGAATGGTCTTGATGTGTCCGACCCAAGAATCAGATCAACCCAAAGAAGCACCATGGGTTTCTTCCTGGGAGGAATTGACTGATCGACGGTCGATTCGGCCGATTCTTCAACACCCATATAAATGAGACCACAAGAGTCTTAAGAGACTAGACCTCTGCCACATTTGTCATTTGTCATCCTTTTCTTTTTGCTGACCCTAAGTTTTGCCCACAAATCCCCGCACCTCGCCTCGTAATGGTCGCTCTTCCGGCAATGTCTCCAAGCCATTACCTGCGCACTGTTTGTGGTGCAACTCAAAGAGGTCAGAGCTGGCACCAAAATGTGCCTCCACATGGATGATCATTCATCTGAGAAATACCCAAATCACAGCACATCCGGAACCCTAACTCATCGATCCCTAAATCCCTTTTGGAAACCACCAATGACTTCGAGCGGAACGGACCGTCGTAGGATGGGATATCCGTGTCACTTCTTGGGTCTTTTGAAGATGTCTCGACGCAGCGTATATGTTCAATGATGCGGTGGTTGAGAGCATCATGCTTCCCAACAGGAGATCTTTGCAGGGCCTGGAAAGCCTGTGCCAACATCTCAGTCGTCACTGCCACGAGAAACAGAGATCGCTCACTTGGAGAGTCTTTTTCATCACGATCACGACCAGTCTCCGAAGGCGAGTGATCCCAGGGCATCCAGGGAACCAGGTGGCCGCTTCAGCTGCTCGAGGGGTCCGAGATGGTCGGAATCCGGGCAGGACGCCCACTGACCTTTTCCACGAAACATTCTCGAACCCATATTCCAGTAGTTGCTACATGTTGGGCCAACGGGGGGCTTAGCCCCGCCGGCAACATATATCCGATCCGTTGACTGGTCTTTCGGGGTGGGGGGGGTAGGGTCAGCTTCGTCCGTGCTACTACTTCGACTTTGACGTTGATTTGCCGACTTGGTGACCTTTCGTTCGCTCGGTGACCATTCGTTCACTGGACTGCTCGCTTTTCTTGGCCGTTGCGATGCAAAGCTGCAACGACAGCACGTTGAAGGCCTCGCAGCGTTGTGGTTCAGCCAACATCAGCGTTGTGGACTCAATGCTCGAGGCTGTCAGAATACAGAGAGAAGCTGTGCAAGACACTTGTCCGCCAGCTCAAATGTACAGTGAGCTCAAATGGCTCAGTTGGGAACAAGACTGATGTCTGGCGGCTGCAAAATGAGCCTTGGCAAGCTGTACACGGAGCCGGCGGGTGGGTTGGGTCCGTCAAAACGCATTCAACTTATCGTCTTGCAACTCATAAGTTGCAAAACGATAAGTTGAGTGTCCAAAAACCACGAAACCCTGTAAAACACAGGACCCTCGGTATGTTGCGTCCGGGCTAACCCCCTCGTTTACCCTACATGTTGCTATTGGACGCATCACACGACTCGTCTCTGCCTCTCCAGAGCTGCAGTCGCACATCCTTTGGTCGCCAGAGCGCCAAGTGCGCTGGTCGCGGTCCTGACCCCCAGCACAGCCGCGGCATGGCACTGAAGCCTTGCCATCGTGCAGAGCCGAGAAGTTGTTACAAAGATGTCAGGTTTGTAAAACTGTTTCAGAGTTGCCTTAGAGCTAGGGTGCAAACCAAACTAAGTGTAGTGAGCTTTGTGCAGAGTTTCTTCAGCATGTTTGTCAGCTCTGTCAGAAGCCCTTGTGCAACGTCTTTCATGTTCGAAGAATTCGAGATACTCAAAAACTGAGTGGAAACCATTGTCACTCTCAATCAGAGAGTGATCTTATTAGTCACATACGGTTTGAATAACATGAGGAGAGGGACATCTCACCATTTTGTATCGGGAAGCAAAGGTTGGCAGCATAACTTCTTCTAAGACAGCACGCGTGCATCTCCGACTCACAGGCTCTACAAAGCTCCTGCTGCAACAACCTCCGCTATCTGGAACAACCATTATTCCCTGTCCACGTGGACCGGGAAGCTGAACAATTTGCAGCTGGCTTATCGTAGCCTCCCGATTTTGCCAACGTCAAACAAGATCTAGCGTTGCTTTTAACATATGAGGCTCATATTGGGCTGTTCGTACTCCAAAGACTCCTGGTCCCTCAACTACTAGATGTTTGAGTTTCCCTTCCAGCTGACCCCACGATGAGGCCTTTCCTTCAAGAGGTCTAGGACAAATGCGCACAAATAGAGCTTAACGTGAAAAAACGCCCAGTGGCCATGCTCAAAGATTTCAGGCACATAGATCTCCTCGAGCTCCACCTGGGATGGTGAATCCATCGCTGCACCCAAATAGCTCATAGCCGATAGTCTATTCGGAGAGACATGTGGTGACAATTGAGTGTCCCCCCCAAAAAAAACGGACCGAAAAGTGTTTCTTTTTGATTCTTGAAGGTTCCAGAGTGAAAACCGATGAAAACCAATAGAATTCTGCAAGAGACTTATGTCGCTTCACGATGCTTCACGCAGTTAACTTTCCTCCCTCCAAAGCTGTCCAGATGTTCTATACTATATACATAAATCACAAATTCTAAAAGAGGGTGACCGTTGGTGACCATTGATCGCACCCCAAATGGACTTGACAATTGGACCGCAGCTGATCCACATATGTACATGATGTAGCACTCGGCACTCGGTAGAAAACCCTTTAAAATCTGCTGAAGTATCCGCAATGAAACATGTTCAAACATCTTGGGATTCTGGACTAGCAAGGACCGCGGTGAACTATATAACTAGCCGTATCATTCATAATGAAATGACTACTCTCTGTTCTCACAAGACACAAGACACAAATCAGAACAGCTTCTCTGTTCTTTGGAGCGGACATGTTCTCCAAAACGGTGGAGAAGGTCTCCCGCCTTCATCTGCAGGAGCTGTAGCTGTCCATCCAGGCAAGTGCTGGCAAGGTTCCCATCGGCTGACCAAGCGACCTGGCGAAGCGGGAGTCTTTTGGAGTGTGAACAACGCAATAGGAGGAGCCTCATATGATGTTAAAGCAAAACTAGATCTTGTTGTACCAGTGACATAGACGTGGGTATAGTTATACAAGACACTCAAACACTGGAATTTGCTCAAGGTACCGGGAAACACATACAGACCCCAGGTACCGGGGATTCACCGAGAGTCGGAACGGGATCCAGGCAGTTCCCACGAGAGCTCGCTGGGAGTCCCAGTGGTTCCAAAGGCTAAAACCATATATATATATATATAGACCTGGAAACTACTAGAAACCCTGGTTCCATATTTACTGGTAACTGGGATCCACTGAGAAAAAGACAGATCCTCCTCAGCAAAAGCCCAATGAAGGTGGAGATAAGACCAGCTTCGAGGAGGGAGAGTTCTGAAATGCGGTCTTCCGTTTCTGCAAGATCCGTTGATCTGTTTATAGAGGTCACTGGGTCAGAGAAATGAACAGTCTATGTTTTAAAGAGTACACATCCTGGGCAACTCCAATGTAAGTGCTGGCACACCCAGTCACCCCATCCACATATAAACCCCAAAAAACGAGGTTGTTGGAGGCCAATTGGTCTCCAATCTGCCGCATGCGCTGCCGTGCCTCTCCACGTTCCAGGCCCTTTAGGTCGGCCTTGAGAGGGATCTGCTGCGGCACCTCTGGGCTTCGCGGGGTGGCCCATGGGCCCATGAGAAGAGATGAATGACCCCAGGATCAACAAATCAAGAAGTTGAGGTCCACCAAAACCCTCCGACTTCAGGTCATCAGAGACCTTGAAAGTCCGGGTCCTCTCCAACCCCATCGCGGAGATTTGGCAGGAGCTGGTGTGCATATACGCAATACACTATACACGTCATGAAAAATGAACGAAAATGGACCCGCAACACATCAGACATCATCAGACCCTCCTCCAAACATTAGTCATGGCTTTTTCTTGCTCCATGCGACCGGCCTCTAAATCCAGGTCCCACCACAACCCCGCCGGGCCCCCATCGAAACCCCCGGCGTTTGGGTCGCGCGAGCTCGCGGACCTTTGGCCCATCAAAGGGGACCACCACAGCACCCCCAAGGCCCTGCAGCAACACGCCGCGGCCGTCGCCGGTGACCTGCGCGGTGCGTCCGGAGTTCGAATTCGCCGAGAGAATCCGGGCCCGGGGCCCTCCTGGAGGTATCCTCTATGGTCCCGTTGTTGCCGAAGATAGCATTGTCTGGTTTTTCCGATAGCAGGGCTTCTCGGCAGCATTTCCATTCCAGGTGCAGGACATGTTCACCCTCAGGTCCTTTGTCCTGTTGAACCTTTCCAGGTTATAACTTTTGCTGTTGACCTGGTGGGTGACCAACCGGCCCTCCAGGTTCCACCCGAGTAAAACGGATCCCTCACCCGCCCTGCCTTGACGCGAGCAAAGGCGCTTCCCTCACCCGCCTCAAGTGCCTCCAGGCGGCCCAATTCCCGCAGCGAGCTGCGCATGGCGCCATAGAGGACAGACGAAGAGGTTTTTTTGTGGACCAGTCACTTGAGTGTTTGACATCGGTGGTTTTGGCGAGTTGAACCAGCGAAAAGCGGGGTCGTTCAACCTGGAGCCCGACCAGTCCACCATGTAGCGAACGATCTTCCAGGTAGGTCAACCGAGGTCAGAGGTCTGCTAATTTTGAACCATCCCCATGTTGCTACCGCGAAGTGGCCCGTCCATGCATCCAATTTCTGTGGCACTGTGGGAGGTGTTGAGATCGTTGGCCGAACAGGAAGAGATGCGAAGAGGACAAACGACGCTTGGGCGCTTGGGTGGGTGCAAGTACAGTTTCCTCTCCGGTGTTTGTCTTCCCCAGATTTGGAGGGAATGTTTGGCTTGCAAATGTCCCGTTCACTTTTCTTACTCAAGCAACCCGGAAGAGCGGAGGTTCCTGGTTCCAAACTCCGACTTCAGAATTACGGAGAATCATCGAAAAATTGCTGTTTCGGTTGCAGAAGTTCAAGTGGCCTTGTTGGCTCTCTTCGGGTTGTGACGTGATTCTTTCCCCTTTCTGGCTGGAGCGGCTGGGAATGATCCTTGTGCTTGCAGGCAGGTGTTGCTGGTGTTGTGTCAATCATCCACTGAAAATGGCTCACCACATGTGGTGCTCTTTAGATATACTGTGCCAACTGAAAATGCGGTTACATAAGTCTGTGTTGCCATGGATTAATCTATACAATGAGACAATAAGTTGATTATAGTTGATTGGCTCAGCGATTGGTGGCGGATAGCGGCTGTTGACCCCGCTGAAACACCAGGAGTACCATACCACCACAAGAGAAAGGTGCATCAGCCAGCTAGGGCATCAGAATGAGAACTCTGCCTGGTGCGAACGTCGTTCGAAAGTTCTGACCACCTTCCTTCTTCTACACACAGTTTCACAAAGGAACTTCCTCAGACCCTCTGGTCTCGTTCCGGCATCTGCACCGTTTACACAACCTGGGTAAGGCACCACTGAGCTCGTTTATGCGCACACCGCAAACTTGAAGACTTACTCAGGAGACCTGAGGAGAGTCCCTGCAAAGCCTAACAAAGAGCTCGAACTACAGAAGCTTTTTGAGATGAGAACTGCTGTTAACACTTCGTTTTCTTCTCAAGTGCACATGAAGGGTTCCCATGATTGTCCCCTTTCTGGCACGTGAAATCATCTCACCTTCTACACTCCCAATCCCCCCGATCCCCAATGCCACCCGGTCGTCTCCCCCTTCAACTCATCCGGTCGTCCCTCCACCCCCATGGGACGCTTCGTACTGGAGTGGCGTCGTTTCACGCGAAGATGTATGGAGTCCTGGAGTCCCAGGGCAGTCAGGGCAGCCAGGGCGGCCGGGGCAGCGGACGCACCTTTCTGAAACAGCCGGAAGCCACCCGAGGGAGAAAACACTTGTTCATTGTAGAAGCAGTTTCACCATTTCACACTCTCTTTCTGGGCGTCCAGGGAAAGGTTCAACCAGCTTTGCTGTCTAGAAATTCGAACCAAGAAAAAAGATCACTATAGGACATCTCAGCATCCACACCACTTGAACAATGGTTCATCTTAGCTTCCTCTGGTTTGATGGTCTGCGGTAGTTTCCTGACGAGCCTCAGTAGAGCCTTCAAGTTCATAAATTGGGTACCACTGTACTTGGCAGTTTTGACCACAAGGTCGGGTAGACGACGTTCTTGCACAGCTTCCAGGCGTTCCAAGGAACTCTTGGGCCACATTTCACACTGCTCGTGCCCAATCTCCATGTCTTCCATCCGCTCTGGTTGAAAGCCTCCTTCATTTGGCACAGACCAAAGAGCCAGGATGAACCACATTGGCTGGCTGACCTGAACCGCTGACCTGAAGATTCTGGCACGATATCAAGGGGCCCAGATGTATCCCAATCAAGTGCTGAAGGGGGTACTGTTCGAGCATAAGTTCTCCAATCAGAAAGAAGCCATAAAGCTGAAGCTCCAAACACACCACGAGGCCAGATGCTCCGCTCAAATACAGTATATAATCACTAATGTAACACACCTTTGGGCCTTTGGGATCCTTTGAGTGTGACGCACCATCAGTGAGCCTATCTAACCAAACACCGAGTGCCAAACACCGCGTACCCGGTCATGCGGCGTCATTACGCCGGCCAAGCTCATGGTGTGAGGCCGGCCGCAGCCGCGGGCCTGGACGCGTCTTCGCCGCAGGTCTTCGTGGTCTTCCAGGGGAACCCAGGCGTAGATTCCCCAAAGAGGATCGTTGTTCTGGGTAGATGCCAAGGTGTTTGCTGTCTAGAAGGGTACTATATACCCAGTTGTTCTTCTCTTCCTGGCCAAGCTCCTCTTCTTTGTCTCCTGAGATTTCCCGAGGACTCTCGATTCCTGTGGAGCAGCATCCACACCCAAGCAAGAATTCAGAAACCCCTTCCCGGAAAAACCGGGCGTACTGAAAAGTGGTGTGTGTGGATTTGGGTTGCTCAAGGGCTCCGACTCAGAGAGAAGAAGAACCCAATCCCCTCGCATTCATAGAACTCAACAGAATCTTTGGCTCTGGGCCCTAAGCCTATAAAGCAACCTCGAAGGCAAACACGTCGGTTTCCAGCAAGGCATCAATCTCAACACATAAGGATTGCTGTCATTGAAGGAGACACCAAAAAACTAAAACAGTTTCTCATGTTTCCTCCTCCGGCCCATGTTGTCCCTAAGCAGTGCATGAACTGCCCTTAAAGTCCACCACAGTTCCTTAGGACAATAGGACGAAACATCTGCCATGCAAGCTTACTGGCCTGAGATATTTGTGAACGCTTTGTTGCATTCACTTGGTACCCAGGGATGAAGTTCAAGTCCCTGACACCGCTTGGATGTCGCTTTCACCCTATCACCGAGTCTTATCCCTGGAACTATACAAGGATATATAGTATTCTATATATATATATAATGGTGTAGGGTCGTTTGCAAAGTACTTTACGCCATGAAATATCCAAAAGGTGCCAACATCTTTCTCTGGCTTGAGTAGATTCAACGGTCTATTCAAGAGCATTGTTCGAAAGGAAATCATCCAACAATGCCTTCCAATTTGTCGTGGTTTGATCGCCATCGATTCATTCAGGGTTTTCAAGTGTTCGACCATCGATTGCCATTCGTCCGATGCTTGTTGCAGGACTGCGCACAGTCTTTCTTCGCGAAATCGATCACCTGATCACCATCGCCACTGACCTATGTCATCACCGCTATGACCTCGCTCTCGTTCTCATTATCACTCATTCTCACTCGTTCTCGTTTTCGTGCTCCTGCACGCTGTGCCCTAGTGTCAGACAAACCATTGTCATCTGTATGGAGGCCATCTGACAGCACCAAGTTGAAGCGGGTGTGTGTCAAATTTAGACCAGATGACCAGAGCCGCTGCTAGAAGGAAAGCTGCATTCATACCTGGACCTGTGCTCTGGTTTTGTATGGTTGGTAGCTTGTCAGAAACTCCTGGTGCCAAATGAAAGTCATTGCTATTGCTCCTTCCAAGGCTGCTTCACCCACTGATCAAAGGCTTACCTTCCGGTTCCTTCCCATCAGCTTGTCAAAAGCTTTGGAGGACAATCACGTCGACCCAAAATCCGTCGTGATCCACGACCCCTACCTGACTTGTCGCCACTTCATTCCTCCATGGTTTACTGCTATATAGAGAGAGAATGAGAGAGAGAGAGAGAGATTATTTCAACCCCCCATTCGGATTGTAAAATACCTCTTCATATGAGGGGCTGAAGTATCATGAATCATCAACTAAGTCATGAAGTAGATGCTTTCGTTCACATCCGCCAGCCAGTGCGGTGGGAAGAACCCGGCTCGTGCTTCGGCCCGGCCGATCTCGGCCGCCGAACCCGTGCGCCTCGCGGAAGGAACCCGTGCGGCGGAACGGCGCTACGAGGCTGGAGGCGGCGGCCACGGCGAGGTCAGAAGAAGACGTGCCGTCCGAAGAGACGTCCGTGCAAATCCGGTTGGTGGATTCCCATGGGAAAATGGTCCGGTTGGCATGATCCTGTACCCTTTGCTCCACTTCCATGATTCTGGTCGGAGTGTATCCCCATGTATCTCCGGTCGACAGCGGATCTTCCAGGTCATGTTCGGTGTGCAAATTGGGCCTGATCTAGCAGCCAACCGCCAAAAGAACAAGCTTCAGAACGATCTCCAGGCAAATCCAATTCAATCCAGTCCTTTCATCTGAGTAGCTTTGAACTCCCTGGAAGCTTCTAAAGCTGTGAATGGTGTCCTTTCCACGGTGAAATCCAGGCATCTGCACTCCTACTCCCTGTCTTTTTGGTGCAAATGATGTCCTGCAGTCTTCTCCACGGATTCCACATGTCACCCCTTTCCTCCCCGTCACCCGCATGGACGCCGCCGCTTCCTTTCTCTCCAACCCGACCGGTCGGATCCGACCCGGTGAACGGGTGAAACGGGGTGAGACCGTGGAGACCGGTTGGGGGTGAGGACCCACCCCTCTGGACTTCGGGGGAAGGTATGAAGGTGTTGACATGTCCCGTTGGACCCCGGTACGTTGAGTGATGGGATTCGATCTCAAGAACATCTGACTTATAAGCAATAAGCATTCTCTGATCTCTTGACCAAAGCTTTCGCTGGCTGCTAGGTGCTCCTGGTCACTGTGGCAATGGAAAAGAACCAATCAACCCAGTATTCCAACACATGAATTCGTTCTTTCTGGATTCCTCTGGCTCTGGTATTCCATGCCTTCGTTCGATATGCTTTTGGCGTGGAAACCTTGGGCAAACGATCACCCAAACCGAGAACATGTGTTCCATGATGTTTTGGCCGCACATTTCGCAGCAGGACCACCCCCGATCTACGTACTCGGACGGAAGCATCGGAGCTTGTTCGCAGAGTTGCATTCTGCAAAAACGTCTCTCCAAAATATGTTTGCTTGGTGGCTTCAAAATGCTTCATCTGACGAGGCCTTCTACAGTATTAGGTTTTAGGTTCAGGCATCCGCTCATATCATGAGGATGTTTCTGTGTCAGTGACCTTGATCAAACCC